TGCAGTGAAAAGGCGGTATATTAATAAAGATTACTTACTAAAAATTACTCACTAGTGGCCCCTAAAATGATTTTTAATTGTTATTATTACTTGCAGCATACATCATTTATTTTCTCTAGAAACAACCAAATTTAATGTATCACAAATGTTAACCCAACACATAATCAGAAGTGAAATAGTTAAATACAAAACAATGTGTTTAAGTTTTGGTTCAATCTAAACAATAAACACATTTTGTTTTCAGAAAAATCCATCTGAAAAATAATGGTGAAACTCATGTCACATAAAAGTAATGTCAAAATACCTCTATAGTAAAAAAAAGAATTAAAAGAAAAGGAAATCACTTCTATTCTTTCTATTGTTTGTGTTTGACACCCCTGCCATAAGTGATATACATGTGAATAATGTATATGTGCACTGCATACATATAAATGGATCAAACTTACAAAAACCAAACCAAACACACAAAAATACCCAAAAAAACAAACAGGCCAAGAGTGTTCAGTTTCCCTGTTGCGAGCGTGCTGACTCTTAAACAGGAGAATGTGGATCTCGGCATATTTTGTGTGTAAAAATGTGTGGCTGTGTGGTCCAGTCCTCTGCTCTTTGATCCTGGTTTGACAGCACACCACCTGGGACCATCCACCACACGCTCCATGGCTCCCAGGCTCTGTCGACACCGTAGGAATTACAAAACCCCGGCTAACGCAATGCTAACTGCAAGCTCTCCTCTTCGCTACATTCATCACAATATCTGATGCAAATGGTGCGGCCAGTCGTGTTTTGTCCAGCATGTGAATTTGACATGAAGCAACCTACAATTTTTCCGATTTGTAAACTCACTTAAAATATTTATGCCTAAGAAAATCAAATCCAACATGGCGGCGTGCTGCGTTTGTTGAAAGTTTATGCTCTGACAGTGATAATATTGATGGATGCAGTGTTATTTTCTCTTTAGTGGCTCTCTGGAGTTCACCCGCTGTCTGCTAACCTGCTCCTGCTCTGCGCCTCAGACTCAGCAGTTATAAGTGCTAATAACAACAAAGTCAAAGCTTCATTCTCTAAAACTTTCAATCCAATTCAAGTTATTCTTGTATAGCGCTAAATCACAATAGTAGTTATCTCAGAGGACCTTACACAGAGTTGAATTGGCCAACACAGAGCAGAGAATCAAAGCGTTCAAACACAAAAAATAGAACAGAAAACACATTGGTTTTGGTCCATAAAGAGTATCTGACCAATGTCCAAGAGTGTTGATAAATGTCCATAAATGTTGTTGAGTGATGATGGCTTGGATCATCACCACTGGCTTTTTTTGTTAGACTCTCACAAGACCAACAGACCCTCCTGCATCTGCAAGGAAAAACTTTAAAACACTACTTATACCACTTTTCCACCGAGCTGGTGACGGTTCTGAGCGGGTTCCCATTTCAGAAACCTGTTCTTTGATTTTCCACTCAAAAAATACTGGTCCCTGGTGCCGGAAACTGGCCCTGACTTGGCCCCACTTCAGTCCATGAGCCAGAAATGGGAACAACTTCTGGTTAAATACTCCACAAAAGATTTATTAAATCTCTTGCACGTATTAAGGGTCTTTGTTTGCTTAGAGTATGCACAATTTAAAGTATAATAGTTTCGCACACATGCCATAATGTACATACAAAAAATGTAGTAAAATAGACTTTTTCACCATTCTTTATCCATTTTACATCCCTCTGTGTCTCTTTCTGCTCTGCAAGAGACCTGGGCTCTGTGACTGACTGGGCAGACTTCTCCCTTTACTCCTGCTGTCCATATTGACATCTACCATCCTCTTGTATCCACTAAGTTTAAGAAGGATAAAAACCATTTTTTTAGAAACTTTATTTTTAATTTAGTATCAATATTATAATGTCTCATTATGTGGGGTTTTCTGGTTTGTTGGAGAGTTTGTCAGTGTCATTTTTTTTCCAAATCAGGCCCACAATAGTGATTGGGGAAATGGACTTATGCACATTCGCCATCATCATTTGAGACTGGAGTGCTGATCCACAGGGGGCATTCGGACAGGTGCTTCCTCTGTGGAGAGTCGACCGTAACTGCTCAGAACAAAGTCAGATGCGTGTGTTTGGTCAAGCCAGAGAAGCTATGTAATTAGCCTTTGACTTAATTAATCAACTTCAAAATAATGTTGTCAGGGTCCCTATATGGAAGGACCAGGAATGTATTTGTGGTTGATACACAAACACAAAAATCTGGATGCTGACGCTAGGCAAAGGGCCAACTATTCAAACAGATCTGAGACCTAAAGGGGGTCAGAGGATTTCAGCTCCATTACGCTCCCAGACTCATCAAAGAGACCGAGGATCAGTGGGATAAACCTGCTCCAGATGCTCACTGTTGGGTTCCACTGAGAAGCACTGCAGGGCAAGTGTCACCAGAACTGAGGACCGTGATACATCCAACTCACGTTAGCACAATCTCCCATTAACACAGCAACACAATGGGAATGTCAACAAAGCAGCTGTGAACAATGGCAAATGTGTGACCATACAGGCCCCTGTATGGTCACATCTTATTAGTATAAAGGGCCTTTCAACTTTATTTATGATGACTCGATGGTCTTGGCCGATGCCGTTGTGCTAAATATGTAGTTGGGCTGGGGCTGTATATGATGAGAAAAAAAACAGAAAACCCCACATGATGAGACCTAATAATATTGATACTAAATTATAAATGACGTATTCTGATATGTATTCCCAATAAATTGTTAATAAAGTGTATGTAAAAGGATCATTGCTTGCGGTGGTCCTGCTTGGTTAAGAATGTTCTGTGTAATCAATCTCAACACTATTTATATGGAGCTGTGAAGTCCTGCCTACTTGACAGGCCAGCCCAGAATTACAATAATAATTTTAAATCTAAATATTAAGAAAATGAAGGAAGGGCTACCTAACTATGTGGTCACTACTACCAGCAGAGTAATGTTTTTCATTGAAAACATTGCAATTTTGCAAGTTTCAAAACCATATATCCAACTTGAATATGTGATATTGTGTATAGATTATAGAGATATGTATTATTTCCATAACTGTGAGGTGGGTGGTTCTGTATATTTGTCTATTGTATGGTAAACCAGACCCTTAAACACAGTTTACCAGAGGCCACAAGAGGCAGAGTCTGGGTAGAGCTCGGCAGCAAAAATGTATTTCAAACATGTTTGAAAAATACAACTGCTTCCATCTGCTCTCTTCTTTTATCCAAACATGGACATTTCTATAAACCACATTTATTCCCTCTGACTGTTATTCGTGAAAAGGTGGATTTGATTTAGAGAATTAGTAATAATCATAAAGATGTCCCCAGCACTAATGCTCTCGGTTGGACGTGTTTTAGATAGATAGATACTTTATCCTGCGAGAATGAATAAAGTATCTACAGTATCAATCTATCTAAAAATGTCCAAACGAGAGCATTAGCGCTGGTGACACCTAAATGTTTATTGTTACTTTGCTGAATTTTAGAAACTCAATGCCTACTTTTTCATTGTATTATTGCTCATCAGGGTTTAACATTTAACGTAAATACAGTGTGTTTGTTTTCCAGCATAGAATTAGTTTTAAAATGACATATGACAGTCCAAGCTCTCAGTGGGTGATGCACATTAAGCTTTGATGTGGAATAAGGTGCAACACAATATCTGTGTGTTAGAGACCCCGGGTGTAAACCCCTGTACTTTAAAGTGCCGTGCTTTAGAGAAAAACAGAAAGCTGGATTGTACATAGTTGTTTATACAGGGAGATGAAAGCCTCACACCTCAGTCTGGCCCTAATGTGCTCCCTCGCAGTTTTCACCTGACTCTGCGCTTTTATAACAGGGAGTCAGCGAAAACCAACCATTCTCCAAAACAGTTTCTGCTTTGTTCTTTGGGGATTAAACATAATTAAGCCAAAACCTTTGTCCATATTTTTCACATTTCATTCTGAAAGACCTGTGGGGTCCTTGTGTCTAACTATATGGAAACATGAATATATAAGATTCAATATTTGCACCTGCAATTATTGAAAGCATACAGAAATATAATTGAGCACAAATAGAGATTATGACAAAATAAATACATTGTTTATTCTCAACGGAAGCAAATATTTACATGCAATAAAAAACAAGATTAGAATAGATTTTTGGGTTCCTAGTAATTTTATTGTATTTTGTTTTACGTACACATGCACATACGGTTTTTCCTTTTTTTATTTTAAATGAATTTACTGATTTACTATGGATTTGTTTTAATTAGTATTTTATTGTGCAGCACTTGTTTGTGAAATGTCCTATATACATAAAGTGGATTGATTTAACAACATCCATTACGACGTGTTGCATGTTACTGATAATGCATTTCTGTATCTGTCTAAATCCAATTATATGATTTTTTTGTATTTATTTAATTTGTATCCCGATATTGGTTCACAAACTTTTAATACTGATGCAATGTTTATTTCAATTTAAAAAATCAAGATTCAAGAATGTATTTGCCATTTGCAGTAAAACCACATTGGAAAAACTGTGCAAGACCCCAGCGTGACATCCTCTCCCTAATATAATAACGATTAGTGAGAGGCTTTCTAACTGGTGAATGTCTTTGAGAATAGCTGATGTACATTTCACACCCTTGCATTCTGATGTGTAATGAAGAACGGCGACACGTATGAAAGATTTTTGACGTACAGCATGCAAACCTTTTGGACATATCCAGATCCCCTATTCGCCCAACGCTGCTGTGGTGTGGTGTTGTTTGTTTGAGTCTGTCAGCACAATGCCACAATCCTTCTTGCTCATGTCTCAGAGGCTCAAGTCATCAGCGTCAAAACATATTCCAAACTGCTGCCTTCTTCTGCTCTATGTTTGCTTCTTAGCATTCTTTCTACGTCGTCTCGTGTCGACAGGTGATGCCGGCAGATGAATAGAGGAAGTGCTTTTGTTGCTGCTTGTGCTCATCCTTCTCTTTCTGCCTCTCTCCCCAGGCTGCTGTTTTGTCACATTTTACACAAGGAAAGCTGCCCTTGAAGCCCAGAATGCACTGCATAACATAAAGACCTTAACAGGGGTGAGTGTGTGCCCTCATTTTTCTTATTCTATTTTCAACTTGTATGCGATCCACCGAGAAGACTTGGGTAAAACAACTCTTTATGTGACTCATGGAATGTCTATGGGATGCTATTTAACTGTGTTTAAATGTGTGAATTCATGTTTAACTGCTATGTCTGCAGTCCTGTGTTTAGTGCTTTAAGTATCATCCATGCAATATTTGATCACAGATTGACACAGATAAGACTAAGGTAAAGCCACAAGAAGAAATAATTTCTCTACTTTATACTTGTTTCCAAGAACAGACAATTTAATGTTAAACAAGACGTACTGTAGATAGGCTTACTATGCAATTACTTACTTTATTCATGCATCATTATTAACAGAATCAAAATATTTTTAGTGAATAACAGGAAGTCACAAACTAGGAAATCGCTTTGGCTCTTAGCGCAAAAAGTAAAAATAGAATAAGGCGTTTCAGTTGTATTATTTGTATTGGCTTGCTGCCCAATATTGAGAGAGCTTATTCTTCTGACATATTTGATTTACTTGTTAAAAATTACTGCTAAATGCTAAAATTACTAGTATATACAAGTGCACTGAATACACTTAAAATTCCAATAACATCTCTCTACAAAGAAATGTGTTGAGGTTTGTATAAAGAGCAGTTAATCATCAATCAATTAATTACTAAAATAATTGTCAATTATTCAAAAAAGAAACCTGTTTAGTTGTGATTCATTGCTCCAGCCTTAGATGTAAGGCATTATATGTGCATTTTTTTGTCAGCCTTTTCGTCCTTCTAAAACACTAAACGTTATGTATAATAGATGTCTGTGCACATCTGGCATTGACTCGGACAATAAAGCTCTGTGCACATGCTGTGACATTGCTTTCCTCATGTTGCATGCCCTGTGATTGTTCTATCCTGGAGCTCTGCAGAAGAATGACGAAGGCAGTGGGCTGGAGAGTCTCTCAATCGTGCTCCTTTAGCCCTCGGTGGATATTTAGCGGCCCCCGGTTCCCTTCTGCTCGGGCTATTGGCTGTTTCCCCACCTCTCTCCTTGGCTGCACCAGCTAACTGGAAACTCATCATGTGCGCGTGTGTGCCCACTTGGTTCTGTCAGTTGGATCAGTGGATAGCCCCCCTGGGCAGGATCGGGCGGATACTGCAAACCCCACAAGAGCTATATACAGGATTTGTGCCTGGGCTCCTGCTTCCTATTCAAGCTTGTTGTTTTGCAGATCCACCATGTTAATCGTTTGTGGACTATGGGTGTTTTTGTTGTATTTTTTGTGAGACGCAAGATTTAGTCATTTACCGTATGTCGAAGGTGTGAAAGACCCCCCTCAGGAGAGCGTCTTAGCGACACTCAATTGTCTTTTAGCACTATGTCTAAATCCCACTGCGAAACAAACTTGATATTTTCATCATCTTTAGCATTGTGCTTCATGCTTGATTTGTTATGCCACTGTCAGACATGGCCCTTACACAATCCACACCCTGTAGCGCTTACAAACGGGCCGGTCAAGAGTTGTTCAAAACATTTGCTGATCCAAGTCAGGTGTGTTTTGCCCAAGAAGACTATTCAATTTAATTCAGTGTATTTGGAGTCGTCTAGGAGGACTTCGAGATTTGCCAACAACAGATCAGAATCAAATAGTTCAACACTAGAAAATGCAATAATAACAAACATATTGGAGCCATTATAATAATAGCAATAATTATAATATTTTTTATTCCGGACTCAAGGTTCATATAAAAGACAATACAAAGAAACCACAAGAAACAGACAAATCCAATAAAAAAGACAAAAAATGAAACAAAGTCTAAGACCTTAGTTCATGGTTAGCAGAATTACCAATGTCCATTTGTTTTATGTACTTAATTTTTCATTTTTCTTTCATTAGGTTGCCTTTACTTACATTTTTCTATCGCTGTGTGAATAGATAAATAAATTCAGAAAAGAAAAAATCCTAAATATCCCTGATCCTCACTGGCCATAGAACCACCAGTATATGCAAGGAGCGACTCAAAAAAAAAAAGTAAAGTACCAAAAAGTAGGATTTCTTCAGTCGTCCAACTTCCCTGCAATAAACAATATTCGTAAATCAACCAATTCCCTGCGGTTTCATAAAAATTGACCACATTTCACTAAGATTCTCTATTGCACAGCCTGATCCAAGATACACTGCTGCTCTAGCCTAATGCTACAATCTTATTTGGACCTTTGCTCGTGGATGTAGATTATCCGGATAAACCTCACTAAGGCCAGGATCTTTCATTGATTGATTTGAGATTTACACGGAAACACTCTGAGCCAAAAACACAGGTGTGGTGTTTCGTTCCCATTTTTTAGGTCAGCTTATTGGCGAGGGTTTCGGGGAAGAAATGTGTGTGCAGACAGAAATGCTTCCTTATTTAGTGAGTGAATAAACATGCTAAAGGGGCTAAAAGTTAATGTTTGGAATCCATCAGGTCTTGCTGTTTCTCGATCCATCAAAAGTGCCTTGAATCTAGAGTGACTGCTGCAGCTAAGTGACTTTTCCTTGAACCAAGTGTAATTATAGCTCCAGAGGTTTTTTTTTTATATTATTATCTATTTTCTTAAATAATAGATCCTGTTTGATTTGTGCAACCTGAGTGACCTTATTTCCTCCTTTTTTTCCGCTGTAATATGTGGAACGATGACATTGAACGTACCCCACTGTGGGACGAGTACAGGTTTATCTTATCCTATCTTAAAGGTTTTTCATGTGGTTTTTTTTTTATGATGAGGTGATGAGAGTGAGAATTTTCAAGATTTCCGCTCAAGGACGTCTTGTTTTTTAACTCCCAAATATTCTGATACCGGCTAAGCTAAAATACATGAGCAGTTTACTACACATAAGAATCTGTACCAGCTCAAAAACACGATACAGGAAACTTCCTCTGTGTAACAATACATAAAATACTATTAATACAATTCTGAGTATGCTTTTCTACAATCAAATCCTGACATCAAATGCGGCATTTAGCATTTAGTAAGCAACAAAGAAGCCGAGCTATGAAGGCTGTGAATTATTTGCTGAATGAGTCTGGAGAAAATGAGTGAGCTTTGCAGATGGGGCAAGAAATAAATGTAGTCCAAGGTCAGTGGAGGTGCAGTGCAGATGGACAGAGGAGAGGTGGAGTGGAGCGCTTCAGTGTGCTGCAGGGCAAAGCAATAAGCGGGCCGCAGTTAAAAACCAATACCTGCTTATTAACTTCTCTGCTCTCACGGCTTGTAAAAGCTGTAGAACAATGTTTGTATTGGCACTCTTCCCTGCCCTCACTCTATCTCTACTTCCAACCCAGGCTCTAACAAGGGAAAGATGCAATCAGAGTGAAAGCTGGACTAGAGCCAAATTGACGGAAAAAAAAAGGGCACCGGTATTGGCAGAAGTATGTTGGCAACTATGAGTGTTGGTACAGTGAAAGGGTTTTACTTTGGAACGCAAGCTCAAGTTCTCAATTTTTGTTTAAACATTTCACTTTAATGGACATTTTGTTTGTAACAGCCACCTGGAGACTCTAGTTTGGAGTGAATTAGTTTGTGAACAGAACCAAGAGGCACAATAATGGTGTTTTGTTTTGATTGATAGACTGATTGATCTTTTAAATATATCAATTATATTTTGCTGTGGACCGAGAAAACTGCTAATAATCATAATCATGTTTGGGGGATTGAAAACATAGTGCTTTTTATGTTATTTATTCAGGTTTTACATATGAATCATGGTATGAATCATAGCTTCAGGATATTTACTATTGATTCCTACCACAGAAGAACACAGAGTTTGACCTTTTATCTGGCTTTAAACAAGTTGTTTTACAAGGCTCTTGAGCACTTGTTTAGCACTACCGAGCAGACATGACTAAAACCTTGAAGCAATATTGGAAATCGTGTACAGCCATCCTTTTTCACTGTATCTCAGCTCTGATCCTGGAAACTTTTGCAGGCAAAGTAAGTGGAGGAGAGGATTTTATATACAGCTCAATGATTCAGTTTAGTCTTAAGATGGTTATCAGCTGTCTCCGAAAATGATATGTATTTAAAGGTTAAAGGTATGCTTTTTTATCCTCGTAGGAAAATGTGTCCTCTGCATTGGACCCATCCTGCAATGTCACTAGGGCCTCTGTCAGAAAAAGCGGTCAATGCGGTGCAGAAAAGAATTAGCTTGTGCTTCAGCCGGTTTCATTTCTCTTAAAAAAACCATCTGAAGTTGAAGCGTTCAATCCACAGTGGGCGGAAACCTTATAGATTTCACCAATCGCTCCTGTTTGGTTGTGACGTATATAAGAAATAGGACAATAATGTCTTTCAAACTCTCCAAAACTCCTTGTTGTTCAAGATTCAAATCCTCAGTTTCGGAGATCTTTTCAAACACAACATCAATGCTTGGTCTACGTCTATCTCAACCGCTTCTTTTACTGCTTTGTTGAACCACAAGCAACGCTGATTGGCCGTATGTACTTCCGGGTTCACTGAGCCATCTGCGTTTCTGCGATACCTGACCTCGTAGCTAGAATGAAATGAAACTTAGCAGAGGCACCAGCTGGTCTAGAAAATGAATGCATTGTCATCCAATCTAATAAACAAAACAAGTGAGTACATAGAGTCATCATCATATACATTAACAGTGCGTTATTAAATCTGAATTTGGTTTGAGCCAAATTTTCTGGTTGTCCGTCTCAAACTATCAAAACAGATGCATGGCTCTAATTTGCATACAACACATGCTATGCGTAAATATCTCCGAATTCTGGATTGTGTACTGATGCCGAACAACAACAGTTCGCCACACTTGTTTCTAATGACCTGCTAATGAAGCTCCTGGGGGGTGGAGACAGTCTGTGTATGTCAGCATGTTTGCCTGGAGTTCATCTTGTCAACAGTGAGAGGCAGAGTCTAAATACAACGTTTCCCCCCTTCTCTCTCACGTACACACAGCACTCCAGCCCATATTGTTGCAAACAGGCTTGGTACCCCTGGAGCG